TATTTTGCCCAAAAATGAAAGGAAAGTGCAGAAGTAATTTGTGAATTTGTGATGAAAAGAGGCAACACTTTTAAGGCATTGTGGGTAAAGTTAATGATATCCCCTGGAATTTACTTCAGTTCAATGTAATTTTCTATGAAAAACAATTTGTAGGTTCATTTCATGATATTTCTAGATATACATTGATATTGTTTCTTTCAGTTGTCTGAGTTTCCATTCTCGGTGGAAAGTGGAGAAATTCTACCACTGGCGCAGCTGTCTAGCTTACATCATATCTACATGTTAGACTCTGTGATTGGCAAGGTACAAGTGGCACTTGATGATTGCTTCTCAAAATCCATGGTAAGAATATTAAATTTTTCCTTCCATTGCCGGTATCCATAATTTGACCATCATTCCTCACAAAGTATATCTTCAGCATAGCATCATCTTAAAATAATATTTTTTTTCTTTTATAGAGTGACACTAACCCTCATAAGGCAATGGATCTTGCCAAGGACCTTTTACCAGCTGTTGCAACACTTATTGAAATTTACACAGTGTTCTGTAGGTAAGTCGCATCATATAGTTTAGTAACATTTCATTTAAAGCAGTGGTTCCCATAGGAGCAGAACAGTGATTCTCATAGAAGTAGAGCAGTGATTCCCATAGAAGTGGAACAGTGATTCCCATAGAAGCAGAGCAGTGATTTCCATAGAAGCAGAGCAGTGATTCCCATAGAAGCAGGGCAGTGATTCCCATAGCAGCAGAGCAGTGATTCCCATAGAAGCGGAGCAGTAATTCCCATGGAAGCAGAGCAGTGATTCCCATAGAAGCAGAGCAGTGATTCCCATGGAAGCAGAGCAGTGATTCCCATGGAAGCAGAGCAGTGATTCCCATGGAAGCAGAGCAGTGATTCCCATAGAAGCAGAGCAGTGATTCCCATAGAAGCAAGGCAGTGATTCCCATGGAAGCAGAGCAGTGATTCCCATGGAAGCAGAGCAGTGATTCCCATGGAAGCAGAGCAGAGATTCCCGTAGAAGCAGAGCAGTGATTCCCGTAGAAGCAGAGCAGTGATTCCCATTGAAGCAGAGCAGTGATTCCCATTGAAGCAGAGCAGTGATTCCCATTGAAGCAGAGCAGTGATTCCCATAGAAGCAGAGCAGTGATTTCCATAGAAGCAGAGCAGTGATTCTCATAGAAGCAGAGCAGTGATTCCCATAGAAGCAGAGCAGTAATTCCCATAGGACAAGCGCATTGATTCCCATAGGACAATCGCATTGATTCCCATAGGACAATCGCATTGATTCCCATAGGACAATCGCATTGATTCCCATAGGACAATCGCATTGATTCCCATAGAAGCAGAGCATTGATTCCCATAGAAGCAGAGCATTGATTCCCATAGAAGCAGAGCATTGATTCCCATAGAAGCAGAGCATTGATTCCCATAGAAGCAGAGCATTGATTCCCATAGAAGCAGAGCATTGATTCCCATAGAAGCAGAGCAGTGATTCCCATGGAAGCAGAGCAGTGATTCCCATGGAAGCAGAGCAGTGATTCCCATAGAAGCAGAGCAGTGATTCCCATAGAAGCAGAGCAGTGATTCCCATAGAAGCAAGGCAGTGATTCCCATGGAAGCAGAGCAGTGATTCCCATGGAAGCAGAGCAGTGATTCCCGTAGAAGCAGAGCAGTGATTCCCATTGAAGCAGAGCAGTGATTCCCATTGAAGCAGAGCAGTGATTCTCATAGAAGCAGAGCAGTGATTCTCATAGAAGCAGAGCAGTGATTCCCATAGAAGCAGAGCAGTGATTCCCATAGAAGCAGAGCAGTGATTCCCATAGAAGCAGAGCAGTGATTCCCATAGAAGCAGAGCAGTGATTCCCATAGAAGCAGAGCATTGATTCCCATAGAAACAGAGCAGTGATTCCCATAGAAGCAGAGCAGTGATTCCCATTGAAGCAGAGCAGTGATTCTCGTAGAAGCAGAGCAGTGATTCTCGTAGAAGCAGAGCAGTGATTCCCATTGAAGCAGAGCAGTGATTCTCGTAGAAGCAGAGCAGTGATTCTCGTAGAAGCAGAGCAGTGATTCTCGTAGAAGCAGAGCAGTGATTCTCGTAGAAGCAGAGCATTGTTTCCCATAAAAGCAGGGCAGTGATTCCCATAGAAGCAGGGCAGAAGTTTATTTGTAAAAAATTAATTTGATGTTAGCATAAAGCTTGTTTCTTTATTGACAAAACCATAAATATTTGAATCAGTGTCATCTTCTATGACTTATGCTATATATGGTATTTCACTGTCAAGATTCGCCATTGTCATTACCAAAATTACTATATCACTCTCTAGGTCATCGCTACTACAAGAAGTGGTGAAACACAGTGACTTGAAAGACGAGCAATGCACACCAGCAGCTCTATCAGCATATGGTGCAGTATTGAGACTAGGTACTGGTCGAGCATCTAAGATATCCATATTTGGAATGTCTATTATGGCAGGTTTACCCGCACCAATTAGAAGCGCTGTCGAAAAATGGAGTAATACTTCAGTGAATGAATTCCCGGCTGTAGGTGCCTGGGTGAGTTCTCTATCTGTGGATACTTTATTCTGTCTCATTATTTGAACTGGCACTCTCTTAGCTACACATGTATGGGTAGATGGGGAGAACATTTCACTGGGATCCACAATGCATGGAGTCAATATTTCCTCTGTCTGAAACTGTAAACATGAACAATAGACATATTTTAGATAGTGTGTATCACTGTGAATGCGTAATTTAAAAAACTTGAAAAATGAAGCCCATATTGGTTTACAGTATAAAGCATTGCTATTTTAGCTCTGCTGTCGACTTTGTCGAGCGAAGCTTATCATATGAGTGATTGTCCGTGTCAATGTTTTACTTTCTCGACTTCTTCTTGAAAACTACAAGTCTGAATGCTTTGATACTTGGTGTATATGTACCTTGGGTAGACCTCTCTTAGATTTGTTCATTTCGTGATGATATCTTCAATTCTCTAATTTTGGTGAATATTTTTGTCATTTTTGATAAAAAGTGATATTTTCGACTTCTTGTTAAAAACTGCAAGTCGGATTGCTTTGATATTGCATATATTGGTACTACATGTGGACCTTTCTCAGATTTGTTCATTTCGGGATGATATCTTCAATTCTCTAATTTTGGTGAATATTTTTGTCATTTTGGGTAAAAAGTGATATTTTTGACATTTTTGTTGAAAACAGCAAGTCCGATTGCTTTGATATACATATTGTTTATTTTCTAATGATATCTTCAGTTAATTGAAATGTGCATTGCTAACAGCGGAGCTATCTCAGCCGACAGGCTGCTTGTTTTTAACTACAGCTGTCAAGGTCATTGCGAATAATTGTGTATCTGCCGGAAAACTTGTACATATTCATCTTTCTTTTTCACAGCGTAATTCCTTCGCTAATGATCCAATCCCGTCTGAAAGCTATGTTGGTGCCATTCAAGCTGCACATTTGGGTACGCTATCTGGTGAGTACTGACTGCTGACCTTGTACTTAAACATAGTTTCTAGTCAGTGTGCTTATCAGTTCAAAACTGCCAAAATATTATTAAAACAAACAAAAAATGGTCTCAAAAAAGGTTATTAAACATCTGTGGACCAGTAACAAATTTTCAGCTCTGCTGTTGATTTTGTCGAGTGGAGCTAATCAT